AAGCAAATGAAAGATAAGCATACGTTTTAATAGGCTAGAGAGCCGGAAGAATAAAAGTACTTGAAGTTCTTTTGAGAAGCCGTGATCTGTGGGGTTAACCACTTGGAAGGGAAGCGGATGCCAACTGAAGACCTTGAATGATAGTCGAGCTATATCGTGAATTGACAGAACCACTGAACTCCAACCTAGTAACTGGACAGATAACGCGTTCGCTGTGAAACCTGGAGGTCCTGAGTTTGATCCCTAGCAGGGTCCTGGGTGCGTACTGCTGAGTCCCATACTAAGACGAAACAGCTGTCCAGTGCTCCCAGGTTTTCAATGGTTCTCCAACTGAAGTCAGTCCGTGGTGAATACTACCTCTAAATTAAAATCCCCATTCATCTCAAAATTACATTACTGTATGGTGCTCACTGGTGACTATTTATTTTTCATACTATTATTGACTAAAAATGCGACTTTTTGAGACTAAAGGCCTTCCTGTGAATTACTTCAATGGTTAACGTTAACTCTAATAAAAGAAATGTATGTCAGGTAAATGGCGATTGGAAGAAGGGTTACCTTGTCAAACTGCCGAAGAAGGGAGACCTCAGTGTTTGCAAGAACTGGCGAGGAATCACTCTCCTGTCCACACCAAGCAAAATATTAAGCTGCATCATCCTGAAGAGGCTTAAGGATGCACTGGATTCAAAACTGCAACCGGAACAGGCAGGCTTCAGGAAGTACAAATCATGTGCGGACCAAATTGCAACGCTTCGCATCATCATAGAACAGAACATAGAATGGCAATCAGCTCTCTACCTCGACTTCATCGACTTTGAGAAGGCCTCCGACAGCGTCGGCTGAGAGGTAATTTGGAAATTGCTTCAATACTACGGAATACCACAAACCTTTATCAGCCTCAGCCAACAACTATATAAAGACGCCACATGCCAGCCAAGTAATTCACAATGGGAAGCTCAGTGATGCTTTTGAAGTGAAGACAGGAGTGAAACAAGGTTGCCTACTATCCCCCATGATATTTCTGATAGTGGTCGACTGGGTCATGCAGCAAACAGTTGGGAGCGAGAAGAGGGGGATACTCTGGACTGCGGAAAAGAACCTAGAAGACTTAGATTTCGCCGATGACTTGTGCCTGATGTCACATGAACTTGAAGATCTACAGGCAAAAACTAACAAGTTGACAGAAGAGGCATCGAAGACGGGACTTCAGGTGAATATACAGAAGACAGAGGTGATGAAGATACCGCACCACCACCACCATCAACAACAACAACAACAAGCTCCAATCACCATCAACGGGAGAAACTTAAAGGAAGTAACCTCCTTCACCTATCTAGGAAGCACTGTTTCAACTACAGGCGGCACAGATGAGGATGTCAAAGTCAGAATCGGAAAAGCAAGACAGGCCTTCCTGCATTAATCTGAAACCAGTGTGGAGATCTTCTGCACTCCACTCAGCATGCGGAACAAGATACGGATTTTCAACACCAACGTCAAGTCAGTGCTCCTGTATGGTTCAGAGACTTGGCGCGTTACGAAAGGGATTTCCAACACACTACAGACTTCCATCAACAACTGCTTAGGCTGGCTCGTTACTGAAGATCAGATGGCCAGAAAGAATAAGCAACAAGGAACACTGGCCGGGCAACAAACCAACCAACAGCCTATCGCTGAACAAATATGCAGAAGGAAATGGAAATGGATTGGGCATACACTGAGAAGGCCGACTGGGCACATCACGCGCCAGGCAAGGCCCTCGAGTGGAATCCCCATGGGAAGCGACTAGTTGGACGTCCGAGGGTGACATGGAGGAGATCGTGCGAGGAGGAAATGAGAGGTTGTGGGCTGTCGTGGAACCAGGTTCAAAAGACCTCAGAGAACAGAGGTCACTGGAGACGTGTTATTGAAGCCTTATGTTCCACTATGAAACCCTAGGGACTAATAATAATAGTAATAATGTCAGGTAAAGCTCATTATTAACTTAATCCTTTACTGACACAGTATTACATTTGAACTTTATAGGAGTCAACTGAAGCAACTTCAAATCATTTTCAAAGGTGTTGTAAGAAAGACTTTTCTGTACAAATGACTGACGATTAAAACTGACTGAAAAGTATGAACTTTTGTATAAGTAGAATCATTGGCTTTCACATTATCAACAAAAGAATTTTACTAACTAAGTTACAAGACTCAAGTGTTTGGGAAGCAATAAGTTCTACTTTAATCAGCGAGTTTTATGTCTCGGGTGGATTGCTTTACTCAAGAATAAGCGTACAACAAATATTCATTTCAGTGCTGAAGTGAAATTTGCTTTCAATTTTCAACGTTTTACTTGCACTAACGGAAGGACTTTTACACACTATAGAGATGATATATTACTTGGGATTAATATTTCATTTCTGAAATTAATCTTCAGTATAAAATAGTCTCTAAGCGTTTTCCCGCCTTATATTACAGATAATTGACCAAGAACTATATAACAAGGAAATGAATTTGCTTCGAGATCAAAAGGAAAGCGCCGTATCTGAATGTGCGGACTTAAAATCAAAATTAAAACAAACAGAACTTGCACTGAGTCAATTTAAAGAAAGAATTGAAGCAATGCAAGCTTCTAATAAACCTATGAATATTGAACAAGATAATAACTTACGCGAACAATTTGAAACAGTACTGATGAATTTAGAAGTTGAACAAGCAGCCAGAAGAGATACGTCTTTAGAGGTTGAAAAACTTAACGTTCAATTAGATATTAGTAAAAAATCATACTATGAGGTAAGCTATTGCATAAAATCTGTTAAATTGCAAACGTTACAAAGTCAAAGTCATTTTCTTTTTCTAATTCCCACAGAAAATTGGTAGATACATATCGTTTCTACTTAATTTTCTGAAAATTCCTCTAGTAAAACTGGCTGAAAGCCGCATAATGTTTCTGAATAGTCAAAACCATTGCTCCTTAATATTTTATGTATGACGTATTGAGTGTTCCTTCTACTCACCGAGTAAACTATGGACAAGTAATCCTTTCGCTTTTGGGACTGCTTATTGAAAGGTATCTTCAATTCTTTTGGTAACTTACCGCATTGACTGTGAAATAATACTTAGAAGATTTTTAGTGATTATAACATCTGTCTTCAACGTGAAAGGTGTATCTTCTGTTATCTCCGTGAAGTATATTAGAACAAATACAGAATAAACAAATATTTTGTATGATCCATCCAGTTCATTATTGGCCTATATGCGTTCAAGCTATCTCTAAGTTGGTTAAGTACTGAGCTTCACTCAAACTTACGTACAACTACTCCGTAATGATGAAAAAAGCTGACTTTTGCTGAAATTTCAACGGGAATATTTACAGAAATTTGCTAAACGTTTCACTCCAATCGTCTGCGTAGGTGTATTAAGAGCCTAACAATATTACTTGTATGTTTTAAGTAGCTAAAAAATAAATTTACAAATAAATCGTCTCGAAATCTGAAATTCATTTCTCGATTATTTAGTGAAGTGAATGATATTTTTTGCTATTTTACTTTTGATATTTCGATAGCTCGAAGCCCGATTCAATCACGAAAAGGCTATTTGGAGGATAAAGGAAGAAAACTATGAGAAGAAGTTACAGTCAAAAGCAATAACTGAGAAAGAAATCAGCGGATTACTACTAAATCTAAATTCTGATGTTCCAGAATCCGCCACTTTCTCAAAGACTGGTAATTTATATTCTAAACCAATGACAAACACTGTTAATCTCCTTAAGAAAATACAGGAACTGAAAGGGGAGATTGATAATCTACGAAGTGAACTGGTTAATAAATGTCAAGAAATCGAGGTAATACTTTCATTTTTAAAGTATTTAGATTCAAACAACTTTTCTTATATTAGCAATTTAATACTAACAAATTAAAAAGGTATCCTAGAATTTTAGCTCTTTAGCACTTGGCACCCTGTTAATATTTGTCAATGTTTAAATCCTGATAGTTTGGTTAATTTGTTATCTGTCCTAAATTATGCGGACGCAAACACAGTACCATGCACTCCAAATAAGACAATTTGTAAATATGGGAATTTATGAAGTTCGCTCAACATCCATATCCTAGAAATAAACAAGTATCGAAGTGATTGAAGAGACGCTAAATAGAAATTACACTTATTATCTGTAGTTGTTAAAATGTGCAGTGTCTGTTCGATCTACTAATTGAAATAGAATGACTGTTGTCTAAAGATATCAAAGTTAGACTCAAGAATTTAGCATCCTGCTGTAGGACCGATCTGAATTCAGCCTAAGCAGTAGATTAGCCCATTGAATACAGTGATCGTTATCACGCACAAAAAGTTATACTAGCTATTTAAGCAGCTGACAGTTACTTAATAGGCCCACATTGTTCAACAGTATTTATAGACATTCTGGCACTAAGTTATTCTGGTGTAAGTTCAAATGAAATGGTAGATGCGCCTTGAGTTTGAATGCTAGAAAATATGGAAAACTATTTCTAAAGAATCTAAATAAACTAGTTTTTGTCACTGAACTAAATGATCACAATCCATCAGCTAATAAGTCTTCATTGAAGATCAAAACATGGAATAATAAAGTAACTAATGTCTGAGTTCTGCACAGATGTAGTTATAATCCACATTCTATGAAAAATGAAGGGAACTGACTGTCAATTGCAAGTATTATTGTAAAATAAGATAAATGGATTAGTTTTCCTTTCTTCCAACTAACTGGACTCCTGTTGTTTTTGGGAGAAGTATTATTTGTGCTATCTTAAATACTAACAATATAGCTTGAGTAATAAAAATATTCATGATAGTTTTTTCATTAATTCAACTTTGTGATAATAAATGACAATTCAACGAGATAAGTAGTGAAGATGGGAAGAGATTTAATTCTTGACAAGATTTGAACCGTAGAGTAACTGCCTACTGGGTTATACCTAACTGTTAACCAAGTCAATTAGTTTCTTATTCTTCATAAACTTCAACGGACAGAAAATGTAGATTGAAGTTTTCATCATGAATACTTTAAATTAAAAAGAACATCAAACAAATACCACTGTTCAAATTAGCAATGAATGCATATATAGTTAAAATTACTATGTTCGATTGTTTCCTTTTCACAGATATCATGGTTGTGAATATCCTGAATTAATTCCATGTTCATTATGAATTAAGGATTTTTAAAAAACAGATATATACTGCTTTAATCATCGAAAGGTTTCTCGTTTCTTCTGAGTTCGTTAAGATACTCATAGATAAATCCTAGCGCTTAACTTGTTCTTATAAATATTTATATAGTAAGTGAAAGTATACTTTTTGGTAAGTAAAATTATGAAGGGATCGTCTGTTTGCTTTCAAATCCTACTTGTTGCTAATTTGCAAAACCACGGGTTGAAGACATATTAAGAACACACTAGAGTGCATAATACAACTTCTGAACTATGAACAACTAAAAGAGCTGAAAAAAGAGCAATATGACGTTTTATATTCGAATGAAAGTTCCTGGTAGCATCAAAAGTTTTTGTGAAGTTTGGAAGGATTATCTAGACAGTTATCTTGTAATCATTATCATCGGCTTCCTCCAGGACAATTGTAACAGTTATGGTCTGGATATTTATAGTTATCTCGTAAACTTCATTGGATCGAAACATTTTGAAATAGAATATAGAATATGAGGCAGATGCGAAAAACCATAAGATGGGCATTAATTGTACCGATTTTGAAAATTGTTAATTGAGAAACTCAGTTACTTGGGTCAGTGTACGCTTCGTAATTGGAATCAAGCGAACAGTAGAAACTTGTACTTAATTAACACCATCCTAGGTCTACCACATTCATTTTGCATTCTGCTTTATTGTCATGCATACACTTCTCTTTATCTGTCACCTAGTGTTTCTATATCTTTCCTATTTTTTGACTTTAGAATAACATGCACCTTATTTAATTTTGGGAAATAATTATTTTTAAATAATCAAGTTAAATGATTTTACCTATCCTACCTACCTTATTGCTTTCAGTCATAAAGTGTGGTTTTACACATCGTTTTGTTTGATCAGATAAGCCAACTGGATGTGATCATCATGAATTTGGTCAATAACCTTTATATCTCACACATCATCTCTCTAATCTACGCATATATGTTTATACCTGTGTGCTACTACGAGCTTTTGTATACAACTAAACGTTTCACTTTGTCTTCTAACCCTCCAACTTTTCTCGTTTTTTTCCGTTTTACTTTTATTTACTTCATTTTAATCAGCTCAAAGTTTAATTAAAATTTTCAAAGCATCTGAACAAAATTCCAAATTAAAGTAACTTGATCTGATCTCTTCTCAATTTCCCTATCTTTGTACCTATAATACAGCAAAATTAAAGTCATGGTCTGTATACGAATGAGTGAATGTTTGCAAATGTGCATTTATAATCTGACGTAAACTAGAAATTCGAAGTTATTTGAGATATTTGACACTAACCTACTTTTTGAAATGTCTAATTTACTATCAAGTGTATTAAATTCTGGTGTATTTTCAGAGCGAAACATTATAGGTAAAATGAAGTTCTTTAGTCTTCGAAAATATACATAGTGTGAGTAAGTTTCGCATGTTATCTCCTCTTTCTATTCATGGATCTGCTCTGCTTCTGCGAAAATCAACAGCTTCTCTCAAACTAGCACCATTTTATTGGTTTTCTCTTCTAATTTCCGATTGTTCAAAGAAATGGGGCTGATTAACCTATATTGGTATATGCGGTCATCAAATGAATACCTCTATAGAGTTTTAGACTTCATTCACCTTCAATGTAGTTTGAAAAAATGTATTTTGTTCCATTTAGTGCTTATTAACTGGATTTATACATCTTTATAATTAGCCTTCACATTGAAACTCGAATTCGGCACACACCAACCGCAACATCAAAAAGTTGTCCTGTAGGCCGCTAAGTCGCTAGGTGCTACTTTTAACCATCATTCTGGTTAAGCTGAAGAAAGTCGCTGATAAGTGTGAGTGGTTTCCAAACATTTGCGTGAATTGAGAGTGAAATTCACCGGTTGAAATGTGTTCGTTTGATCTTAGTAACTATAGTATACTTTCGTGTTAAATGGATGATTTGTGGCAAATTGGTACTTCTAAGATAACTTCATCACGAAGTATTAGCTGCAGAGTATTTGGAAGCACTGCAAAGCTGCCTCTATCTAGTAACTTAGTACCCGAAGGTGCTAGGTTTCATGACTTCTGGGGTTCATGAGTTCACAGATTTAAAGAGTAGTAGCAGACCATAAGAATTTAAGTGTTTATTGCTTCTTATTTTTCAGTTGTTCTGTAAGCAATTTCAGCTCTGGATAAGAGCTAAGTTTTTGCAGCATTTAATAATTAAAGTATGATAAAAAAAATTGATAAAAGACGATTCAGCAAAGAAAATTTTATTTTCAACGAATTATCAAAAGGGCTGTACATCATAGTCATAGTTACAACAAATAATTATCGATCAGTAGCTAATGGGTTAATATAAAGTTATCAAAAACGTTCAGTAAAGTCACAAGGTGATAACGGCCAGAAGGTCAACCCAAGTTCATCAAAAATTGCTTATAGAGTTATAATAAATAAACAAAAAGATGAATAAATTGCGTTAGGGAGATTACGACCAAGACAAACTTGGGGATTGAATGTATCTCTTTCGAACACAAAGAGAAGGCTTGTAATGCTGGATTCTCATTGCTTTTACCGTATTGAGTTGGCGAGTACGCACTTCTTTCGAAATGTTTGACTTCACTTTATAAATAACTTCGAAAGAAGACTGTCATGGAGAACAACATCCAGAGTTAACCGAATGGCCAAGAATAGAGCTGTTGATGGCTTTACATTGTCTTTTAGACAGGCATGCAAGATAGCGTTCAGAGATGCATTTGAATACACTCTGTTCGGCCTACGTAACCAGCTGTACAAGAGCAGGTGAATTGGTAAACACACATTGTTGTTTGTAAATAATGCAATATCACACTTTTAATTCACTAGATTTGTTTTTGTGACAGGTTTATTTTATCGGTTTGTTTTGGAATTCATTTACATTCCATGTAAATTTCCATCGTTGCGGATTGCTATAAATTGTAACAATGCTAGAATAAGATGAGTATCAAAATAAGAAAAGTCTCAAACTCAACAAGAATAATGAAATCAATGAGGAGGAAACAAACAGGCATGAAGTAATGAAGTACTAAAGATTTGCAAAATATAAAATTCACTGGGTACAAAATGGGCAAAAATCTTTCATCAACTCTTTACAACAATAACTAAATAATACAAAACCTATCAGTGTTCATTATTCAGCAAAAATTACCCCTACATTGGATAGTACCACTCTTCATGCTTGAAGTTGGTACTGAAAAGTAACGATATCAGGTGCAAAATTAAAGAAGATAACTACAACTATCCATTTCATTAATTTGATTTTTCAATAAATTAACCTTCATATAACTATCTCTTATTGTTCTGTCAATCAAAGGTTTCATGGCTGACACGTAAAACTTAGAACTAATGTATATGCTTCCAGTGATGAATAACTTTACCTCCAAAATGAATGAAAAGCCGTCAGATTGTTTATAGATAACCAGGTTTATGTTGACATTTTTCTCAAGTGTTCAGTTTTTCAGCCACACAGAAGTAATATCAGTAATGCATTCCTTGAGAACTATTCAGGTGTCACAGTTTCTAATCCTCGATGCAAAAGTTTCACTCACTGCCGTACAAGAATGAATTTATGACATTTTGTAACGTCGAAGAGACGGCTTCCAAAAGTAATGTGTGTATTTCACTTTCAATCGTCTGGGACAGATTGAAAGACAGGAAGCTTAGGAGTAGTTTGTAAAATTAAAAATATTTCTGAATTAATTCTCATTGAAATAATCAATCTGGTTTAAATTTTTTCGAATATCTTATTTGTATAACAGGAGTTGAATAAAAGCATCAACTGGAAATCGTTCGCTAATCAACCAACAAGTTGTTTATATCAAACACTTTCACAGAGAGATAGTCAAATCCACGTGCTGCATAATCAACTAGTAGATACTGAGAAGCAAGCTCAATTATATAAAGAAGAGAGAGATAAGTTGGCACATGAACGTAGAATACTGTGTGAAGATTTAGAACGTCTTTTGACAAGAAGACAGGTTTGTTTAATATGCGTAAATTACTGCATACTTGAAAGTAATTATTGGTTTCTTCATAATATAATCATGTGGAAATCTTTTATGAGGTGACCACGGAACCTGAAGGTTCTGGGCTCGATCCTTGGCGGGTGTGCACTGCTGAGGAATACCACACTAAAACGAAATAGCCGTTCAGTTCTCCCAGGTTTCTCTAACTGATGTCAGTTCATGAAGAATATCTTCGAAATACTGGGAGCTGATAAACAGTTTGCATTCACAAACAGCTAGTAAGTGCTAAACCAATAGCTAAACTTTGAGATATGGCCGTTGAGACTACAAGAAAATGAATTGGATTCAAACAAATAATTCAGATTAACAAGAATGAAATATTGAATGTACACAAATAAAAAAAAGCATGCAGAAATAAGATTTCTAATAATTTTAAGATAGATTCTCAGTAGTACCATATATAGTTTGCAACCCATGGTTGCTTGCGTTTCAAGGACCTCAACCGGGTGATCTACATTGCTATATATGGTTTCATTACTCGCTACCAAATCGTGTTGGAGCTTTCTTCAACCTATTATTCCTGCCAAATTCGGATATTATAGTAGTAAGAAGAATTTATATAATACAAACAGCCTCTTTTGTTGGTTGAAGTTACCAACAATCTTTCCGTGATCTGAAATCTGCGTCTTACGCCAGCAGTATTCAATATAACACCTGACACTACTGCATAGCGATTCCGACCATTACACCTCATATCCAGCAAATGAAGAAAAAAAGCATAGAGATGATTGATGAAAAAATAAGGAAGAAAGTAATTGTGAAAAGAGAATCAGAAAGAGTAAAAGAATAATGATATTTGGAATGAGAATGATTTGTGAATACACCTGCCCCACTGAAACACCTTTCCGAGCCATATAACCAAAAGTTTCCAATTACCGATTTCCTTTGTCACACAGACCCCAACCGGGAAGTCTACGTTTTAATGCTGTTGTGTTCTCTGCGCTGGATAGTTTAATCGTAAAGGTTTCATTGTCATTCTAGGCAATACCATGTGCACAAACCTCAGAAGGAATTGAGCTACGGGATTTCCTTCACAAGTGACTTCTTAGCTTATACTGATGACGTTGGGTGTGGTTGGTTGTTTCTACTAAAATCTTGTCATTGTCTCCACCGGTATTTCAATTAGTTTTCCTACCGACATGAACTTTGACCTTCTTTTTGTTTTAGTTTTTATTATTGGTTGATTGAATGTCAGTATTTATGTTGACTACTGACAAGAAGCTTCTAAAATTCTACATTTCCCTTCGTGAGTCAGACCAAAAGTCAAAGACTTCAGAAACTGATACCATGTCTTATCATGGTCGCCTCTAACCTTTTTCTGAAATAAGGCTACATCAACTAACCTTAAGTGACAGGGCAGACGTTGACTGGGCATGGGTTACACATGTCCCATCCATTTAAATCAATGAAAGTTCAAATCTTTATAAACTAACTTCCATCTTCTGAAAAACTCTTGGTCTGGCCTCCACGTTACTGACATCATGATATCACGACACAGCCTGTGGTGCAAAGGCAATAAAGATAAAACATTTCAAGCCTTCTTATATCCTTTACCTTTGATGTACATGTTTTACAGAGATAGTAGAAATTACCGACCTGCAACCTGGTACACTTTCCCTTTAAAAGACAAATGAATATTAGGGTGGTGCCTTAAATGGCATAATTTAAAGAAGGGCGAACGAACCTTTTGTATTGGTGCTTAAATTCAGTCGATCACTGACCCACCAATGGTCATCTGACCTCCCTAGTAGATAAAATCGCCAACGCGTTCAACCATTTCATTCCTTGTTGTTAGACAGAGCATCACTGAAAATCAGATGTAGATTAACAATCTGCATTTAGGTGGTGAGAAACGCATTCTAAGCATTCTCAAACTGTCAATCAAGGTGTAGAATAGACTCTGAATCCTATCAGCGTCATCACCTAATAGGACTATGTTATCTGCGTATTCCAAACCTACTTAGAATTTTTCTGTGGCACTATCAGCCCCTGTAAATTTAGACGATGAGAGAAAGACCTCCATAAGTACTTTTGTGATAAATTTGAATGAGTGGAGAGAGCGGACGTCCCTGATAGACACATCTCTACGTATGCAAATCAGCTATCACTTTAGCGTCAGCTCTAACACGCCCATAGGTGTTCGACTACAAAATCTTCAGCAGTGATGTGCTTACCTGGCACTCCTTTCAGTAAAACATGCGACTATGAAACCTCTCGATCAAAACGGTTAAATGTTGCCTTCAGCAGAAAAAAGATCATGCCTATGTTCTGATTCTTGACGTGAAGTATGTTTGTCTGATACATACGACTATGTCTGTAGGTCAGTGGAAATGTTCCTGAATTTATTCTATCCTTGGTCTCAGTCTCATCTCGTGTGAGTAAATCGCATACCCATCTTTCTGTGGTATAATATCACTAAACATTGAATGTTTTATGCCATATTCCATGATAACGCTGAATAACCGTTTGCTTTTGATTAAGGCTGGGGGCTTTCCTAACTCTACAATCTCGTTGGCATACATTTGAGTTTCCTCGGCTCCTCATCGTGCTCAAATTCTACAGCATTATGTTCACATGGATCCACTAATTCAAAAGAAGCTGCTGGAATTCGCTACATTTTCGCAAATATTTCCTGAAAGTTACCTTTATATTCAACCATGTGTTACATAAGATTGGAAAGGGTACCACGCTTCTCCAGGATGCGTGATGCTGTCTGGCTGAGATACTTGTTTAGCCAGTTTTTCGTTGAAAGTAGTCTTAGTATTCTCATCAGAGAGCTGCACTCAAAACGGTCTTCTAGTTACTATTTTTCCATATCCCTTCAAGCGCAGGTGTATGTGTTCTCGAACTATTGCGTGATCATTATCCGAAAAAGTGCTGCAGAAGCATCGGCAATGTTTCACCAACACTCTCCGGCGATATTTTATAGCAGAATGGTTAATGTTTGCCATGTCAGACAGGTTCTCTTTTCATGTCTGAAGTTCATGCTGGCAATAAATGGATGGTTGTTTGAGTAACCTTTTTACAGGCAATCTTGTCTATTAGTTTCTTCAACTGGAATTTCGAAAGTGCCACCTGAGTGCCTTGTTGGCTCGCTAAGACTACTTACCTGAGCATTGAAATGACCTGATATGACGACCACACCTGAACGTTTAGGTTCCACTGAATGAGAGAGTTTTTGGTAGAGCCCATCGTGCACTTCATACAAATTACAGTTAGTGCTCGTGTAGTCAGATATTTCAAATAGCTGACGGCAAGTTTCACTGTTTTCCATGCGTACGGTCTCACATACACAGTATACATCCATAATTCAGAATCCAAAGGGATTTGGCAGGTGAAGCATATAGGCCTATTTGACAGAGGGTGAAGACATTTGAAGCTCTAATATTTAGTTTGGTACTCGACTTCGGGAAACTAGGGATGCTGTTCTGTGGACTGAAGTCAATACTAATAGCTACAGAGCTAAAAAGAAAAGATTCCTAAGGTTTTTAATGATCTGGGGGGAGTTGAATGCTGGCAGAGTTGTGACAATGGTTGAAACTTCACAGCTGTCCATAGCGTGTAAGGTTACGTCTTATCCAGGTACTATATAGATAAATGGGATTACTAATGATAGTGTGTAACTGCAGAGCCCACAGAACATCTGGTTGTGACCGGTCTTTTGGAAGTTTGAGGTTTAGCTTTGATTGATTTGCTTTTAGATAGAAAACCTTTGCCACCGGTACTGGTAGACAGCAAGGTTGGGAGGATATGCCGTTTTGACTTTTTCCTGTTCTCCCTTCTCTTAGAGAAGGCAGTGCCAGTATAGTACTGTTAGTCGTCTGCGCGAAACACCTTACTCCTGTTACAACCCAGTACAGCTATTGGTATGACTTTGTCATTGGGCCCATGTCATGACCTTACTGCTTACACTAACGGGAACTACATTTTATCTTACCGATATATTACAAACATTTATGATATGGTAGGATATGGTAGGGAACAAACATTCTTACCTGTATAGCTCGTTGGGTCATTGTGATATCGAAGTCTGACTTCCACGTCAAGACAACAACTATCGACCGCTTTTAATATCAAGTCACTGGCTTACAAATGTCTTAAGATCTTGATTCCAAAACAAGAAAAGTATCTTTAAAGATGACTATTTCAATACTTTAAAAGGAGATTATGCGTATTCTTAGACAACAGCCACAATCTCGTTAAACTTAATTATTCAGCACAATTAACAACCAATTAGTAATTCCAATGCCAATTAGTAATTCATTGAGAATAATCTGTTTGAGGTCTATTTGGGATCTATGTATCTTAATGTAGTATTTGTCACGGACTGACATCTGTTGGAAACTCATCGAAAGCCCGGTAACACTACTACTACTTCATCTTAGTATGAAACTCCTGAAAATTGCGAACTCATGATCACACCGAGATTGCGACTCAGAACTTTCAGGTAAAATAGAAAGCGCCTTACCACTCAACGGGTCGAAGTCCAGTTGGCCACATTTTCATAACTCTGTCAATTCCAAATAAAGTGCGATCACCATCTGACGTCATCGATGGGTACCGGTTTCACTTACGAACCGGTTGACCCCATGGGTTATGGCTCATTAGAATTTCGGGAAATCTCATCATGAAGCATATCACCGAGAAGAACCGAGCAGTAATTCAACTTGGATGTTTATAGAAATTAACTGATTTACAGGTGTCATTCATCATAGAATGACATCAGTTGGAGAACTACTGAAAATGTGGGAGTATTAGTCAGTTGCTTCTTTCCATACTAGGATGAAATAGCTATCCAGTACTCCCAGATTTTTCATGGTCCTCCTGCTGATGTCAGTTCATGATGAATACTGCTCTGAAATAATCTCTTTGTAATTCCAGTGATAAATATTCATTACGGATGGAGCTCATCGAAAACTAACAAAGTCTCTTTCTATCTTATCTTTATCATGTACTAAGTATCCCATTTGTGAAATGATAGAGAATATTTGTAACTCAGGTGGATGGTCTTGATTGTATTGTGTTTTCTGAGCTGGGTTGTTGAATCGTGAAGCTTTCATCGTCTTTTTGAACATCATCAACACTAACTTCAGTATGATGATTTTGTCCAGAAAGACGATGAAAGCTTCACTATTAAACAACCCAGCTCAGAGAACACAATACAACCTATCCCATTTGTCTTGGATTTCACAGATCAGATTATGCAGTAAAGCATTACAACTCATCCGTTCAGCTCTATACGCACTTTATAACTGTCTAAGGCTCTTAACCCTAAATCTTACAACAACCTTTAGATTAGAATCATTCATACGTAGATATCATTGTGGGCAGGTTTGTCGAGTTTGAACTTCTGTTATGTTAATGCTTCGAAGACAGTCTAAATATTCATTGATTAAAGAGATGTTGAACATGATGTCCGACAAATGAAATCTATACTCATGAGATATAAGTTGATCAAATCAGTGTCTGATACCCGAATGTATACTGTTCAGGAGTTTTTGTAACGCCAGTGTCATGTTTTTTTCTCAACCCAGACGCTACTATTTCGTTTCATGATGATGAATTGAAGTTTTCCTTTAAATTCAGTCGCTATGCTCTGGCGAACTAAGGTTATCCCTAATAGTCTCATCTACAATGAAAATGTTCTGGATAAAATTGTAATTACCGTGAATCATCGGTTCATATCAGTTTTTCGCTCAAAGTATATTCTCCAGAGTTTCATTTTAATGTAACTGCATAGTCCAAATCGCTAATTAGTTTTCATCACCTCAAGTTTTTTACCAAAGTAAGAATATCATAACTCTCAATTTCCTCAATTCTCTTCTTTCGCTGATTTCTGTCGCTTCAACTGACACAATTTCCAATTCCTGAAGGTCGGAAACCACTTATCTGTGCACAAATACTGTAACTAGCTCTTATTTCCAAGCCAGTCATTTACTTATGGATGCAATTCCTTTGCATGTCCAAAACACTCGTAAAGTTATAGTCTAACAGAAAAGTGGCGCATTTTTCGATAAGATGAGTGAAAATAATAAATGATTTCACCGAACGAAATCTGGATAACTAATTGACTTTATTCATAGGAATATATATACGTGAAAATAAGCTAAACTCAGTTGACGTAGAATTCATTCCTAGACCTTTTATTTTTTTTATTCATCGTAGTTGTATTGACTAGTTTTTTCTATGAAGTATTTAAGAAAAGATAAAACTTTATAAACAATTATCACATCACTAGGGACCCTCGAATATCCATCTTTTTCAAAATAGAATCGAATATAAACTGAGATCAAGCTTTTAAAGTTTCTCATTTCTTATGTTTTCTTCTTTTTCTCACATATTTTTTTTAGAGTCTGGCCAAATTACGTGAGTTTGTTTCGTCCTTACTACAGCAAATACAACCTAACCTAAGCCTGAGACTGTTGAAAAATCAGAACGATCTTCTTTGTCCTAGAGATATGAATTGTGGGTGTAATCTTACTGGAAGACCAAGTTCTCATCGCGAGACACCATTTGATCATATCAGCGATCATAATCGGGTATCTAATATTCACCAGCAATTTTATGATATTTTACGTTCTCAATAAACTGAAAGTCAGTGATTGATTCAAGATACATGTACATTGATAGCAAAATACTCTTCGTATTTTGTTTAACTTCTTTTAGGATGTTTTATTCTTTCAAAATTTCGTTAGGTCATCTAAAGTTGAATTATCTATTTGTACCAAATCATTAATATCTTTTTACCTTCTTTTTCTTTTGATGCTTTGTTTGTTCTTATCGTATAGTATTTTAGATGTTAAATTAATTTAGATTTTTGAGAGATTTAAATATCCAGTTCGGCATAGAATAGCAGTGATAAACATTTTTAAGAAATGAACAATCAGCAATTTCATTTTAATTTCAAAGTTACTGCAGTTTGTTCACTTTATACCGGGTTTCTACCCAAAGTTTTCATACATGCATTGTACACCAAAATCCCGCTAACATTTCGATAAATGAATTTCTAAGCATTTCTGGATATGTTAATTACCACAGTTTCATAAATGTTTACAAATTATTTTATATAGCTATGCTGTATAATTTTGTAACAACTCTTAACCTCCGTTGATTTTTTCAATATACCAATGATTATTTTTAATTGTGATCCGAAGAATATTGATTATGGATGTCTCGATTGATATGAAGGTATTTTAAAAGGTGAATTTGATGTATAACTCTATTTATTCATCATCAAAGTGTTGCTTAAGGAAACGCCAATAATTTTCATTTGTTTCTACAGTGATTAAAACAAGAAAATAAATAGAATTCATCTAAATCTTTTTTCCTATGTAGGCGTAATAAATAGTACGTTGAACATTAGTTTCATCAGTATTCATATTCGTTATTAAATAACATGCATTCCATCATGTTGACATAATTGATAAGTACACTTCTGTTATTATCAGTAGGAGGGTAAAACGTTTTACATGATTATAGGAAATAAATCCTCTTGAAATAAAACTATTTCCCTGCGTGATACACATAATAGAACTATGATGAAACAATTATTGATTTTATATGAGACCTTTTCCTTCACATTGTTTGTTTTCGGTGTCATTTTTATAAATGTTTATTATCGTCTCAGGATCTACATTGTCCTATTCAGTTGAACACATTCATTGATGAAACATAATAACAATTTACCCATTATTTTAAAACGATGAATTCTATTGGTATTTGAATGTTTATGAAGTGAGAAAGCAAGACATATTGAAAAAAGAACTGTAGTTGAAAATTCTATTAAAACATGATTCCATTTTAGTCTGTTTATTAGAAATATCACACAGTAGCATTTACTGGATAATGTTTCGGACACAATTTATTGTTCATATTCCTATCAGGTAACTCCACAACTTCGAAACAGACTTTATATATTCCTAATTTTCTCTCCTTCTCTATGATGATAAGGGTAGTAGACTTTCCTACATATCTGGGACAGGTGCAGAATCATTTTGATTGCATGTATTTGTTGTTGACTTGATAAACAAAGATTCGGTTATCAATCTCTACCTCAACCCAACTAAGTTTTCAAAACTGTCGCCCTATCCCACCGTACTGTGTGATTGATTGTGTATCATCGTATGCAGAGCTATAGCCGAGCTTTTCTCCACATTTCTTATCTTATTAGGACGTACTAATCTTGATTTAGCTAAGTTTTTGTTCTCTGCTATTCTAATCGACTCTATTGACTACTTTGACTTATGTACTTGACCTCACAATCATTGCAGGGGATCTGGTAAGCCAGATTATTTTGCTGAATTGCATCAATAGGATCATTTAACCTAAGAAGCTTGTTTCTAAGTGAGTTTGTTGGTTTAAATGCCACTTTCATCCCAACCTTATTGAGAATTCTTTGTAATACTACTGAGATGCCTTCGTTGTATGGTAACACAACAGAGGCTGTGAACTCTCTCCTATCCCTGTCATCATTATTACCATCTGTAGTGGAATTATTATTAATAACACTTGTATCGATTTCTTATGAATTTATTTATAAATTTTGGTGGGTGATTATTGAGACGTGGGATATGCTTAATATGTCTAATTTCTGCTGTGTTACCATACAACGAAGGCATCTCAGTAGTATTACAAAGAATTCTCAATAAGGTTGGGATGAAAGTGGCATTTAAACCAACAAACTCACTTAGAAACAAGCTTCTTAGGTTAAATGATCCTATTGATGCAATTCAGCAAAATAATCTGGCTTACCAGATCCCTTGCAATGATTGCGGGGTCAAGTATATAGGTCAAAGTAGTCAATAGAGTCGATTAGAATAGCAGAGAACAAAAACTTAGCTAAATCAAGATTAGTACGTCCTAATAAGATAAGAAATGTGGAGAAAAGCTCGGCTATAGCTCTGCATACGATGATACACAATCAATCACACAGTACGGTGGGATAGGGCGACAGTGTTGAAAACTAACAGTTAGGTTGAGGTAGAGATTGATAACCGAATCTTTCATGGTATATTTCTAAATTTTTATTTGCCTACTGAATGCTTTAACTTCCCATTAGTGATGTTTAGTTCCTTCATAGATGAAGGAAGCATTTACTTACTGCTTCGCAAATTTACGACTTCCAATCATATGATATGTTTTCTGATGCACAGTATTCACTACAATTCCCGATTGACATTCCAGATTTTACAACATTACCAGTTTGCTTGGTTGTGGCCCACAGAGGAATTTAGGACGCGCATTTCGTCCTATTTAAGACTTGTCAGATGAATGTACGTCCACCCCAGTGAGTGGTGTTGTTCTCACTGGGACTCGAACCTAGTACTCATCGCTTCGATGCATCATAACAACGGACAATTAAAAGCATATCAACAGATAATAGTTACCAGTTTGACTTAAATAGTATTCTGCAGTTTAAAGCTCTTGCATGTCATTGTGTTACCTGCATAACCGTTATTATTATAATCTGCTTGCATCTGAAAGATGTGAGGCAAAATAAATTCATTCTTTTCTTTAAATTATCATAGGTGTGCGTAGTTCAAGCTTATTTAAGGATAGAGATTATTGGACTGACCTGTAAGTTTTTCAAAATATAAAAACAATGAAAGGCTTGATAAACCTAAAGCCATTATTTAATTGGTGATGTATAACGTATGATATTGACTTCTGAATAGTTGGTACTTCACATATCCTGCACACTTCTACCATATGCTTCTACGTGGAATTGTGAACCATTTTTCTCCTGACTAATGTTCTATTCTAGCACTATATATGGTAAATCATCTGAGCATCTCCTTCTGGCTATAAATGTAAAGCGTAAGCACGTTTCTACTTTTCATTGAATAAGTTTCGTTTGGCTATTCAAGTCTTTCAGCTGAACTTCAATAGTAACGATAATAAATAGTGACAAAAAATATGACGTTAAATAATCCTAATTTTTTAACCCAAAAGTTTATGGCAAATTGCCAGATTACACTAATGACAGAATGGAGTCATTTGAGACTAAATGACACGCTAAAATTGCTCAGTAAGTCAACACTGACAGCTTGCATTAGACTTTATCAAAAGCTGTATTCGTAGACACCCTCAATTCATGAGGAATGTTATTCAATCTGTGAGACTTTCTTCATGGTTGGTTTCCTTGTTTTTAGCATAACGTATTGATTAGGCTTGAGTTAAAGTCTATTGCTAACAGTTCCCGTCAGTGTGTGGTTTTACACAGAAAACTTGTCATTTTTGGTAAAGGTCTATAGCTTCTACCTTTTCGTTCGTTAGACTTTTCTAAAAATGGTTGAGTACTACCTGCACCAGTAATCCCACTAGTGTAGACGATCCTTGAGACATACATCATACTTGAGTGCTGAGAAAAATCATAAGAAAATAAATCAAAACAAATACTGAGAAGAATAACTTAAACGGTAACAAATAATTGGACTACCCATACCTTGAATGCTATCGACATATAGATAGCGAATGTTAAAATAAACTTCATCAGTGACTTATTAATTTAAGCGAAATTCTATTAACTTATGGACTGTTTGTAAACGTTTTGCTGTGCAAACGCTGTTTATAACAGAATTCTAGCGTTATCTGGTTAAACATTTAACAAACTTCGGTGTGGTCATTAAACATTTCACTTAGAATATGAAGTGTTATGAACATAACGAAGAAAAAGAAAGTAATTATTATGCTCTTAAGCCATGCCACATAGAATTCTTACTGAGACTGCAAATGAAATCGAAAATTTCATGATGAAAATCTAGTAAATTACAGGGCTTTTTGGACTCTGTGTCCCATGAAAACGTTACTTACGACATGCTTAAATGACTGAGCATCTTCATCAAAGCCAGAAAAATCGGAATCGTAAAGTGAGATTAGCTTCGTTTATTTTGAGACATCCTTTCAGCTGCTCACAGCCCAAAACACGTAGAACCAATAAAAAGCACATACGTATCAAAGAGTGGGTAGGAAGTCAAAAGATACATGGGAGGAAGACTTCAGAATTTAAGTAAGTGGTGTATGAAAAAGTTATTACTGGATGCTCAACGAAAAAAATTAGTAAACGTGAAATATTTTATACACATAAGAAGAATGTTGCTACAGCACTACAGACATCTTTAATTCAAATTATAGGGAGATGATATTTTAGAAAGACTGAATAAATTACGAGTTTTCTTTGCTAAAACGTATCAAAAAGCTAAACTTTCTCCTGAGTAAAGTGCTATTTGTACTTTTCAGTCGAAAGTGTAAAATTGTTTGTTTTTAGCCTTCGATAAATTCAAATATACGTATAAAAACAGTTTTTTGGAGAAGTAGGTTTTCAACGCTTTTGTTATTGGCTGGAAACAGCCAAATTTGTTTGTGTACCATCTATTAATACTCTGGAAGCTTCTCCTAAACTATCTAAAACTGAAGTTTCGTTTGGTTTTCATATATAGTTGTGGTATTATTATCACGCTTTTTATGTTTCGTCAAATGTAATTGACTAGCATATCCTTCCTATTCATAGACAATATATGTTCTAATTTTGTTAATTCCATGTATGTATTAGACCATAGGCAGCCTGTGAGAAGCCTTAAAATAAATT